AAAAAATAATCGCCAGGTGACTCAACTGATTGCATCTTTCAGTGTTTGACTTCCACTTGTTACCGCTACCACTTTAGCACCTAACATCTTCATCCTAAAAACATTCAAAGCCTGACGTCTAGCATCTTCTGCTCCCATATAAACCACACATTCTAATCCGAATTTAGCACAAACAGTGGCAGTTGCAACCCCATGTTGACCCGCACCCGTTTCTGCAATAATTCGTTTCTTACCAAGTCTCATAGCCAAAAGAGCTTGACCTACTGCATTATTAATCTTATGTGATCCAGTATGATTTAAATCTTCACGTTTAAACCAGATCTTAGCACCTCCAATCTTTTCAGTTAATCTTTTGGCATAGTATAAACCTGATGGTCGATTCATATAACCATAGTAACTTTGAAATTCGGCTTGAAAACTTGGATCTGCTTTAGCTGCTTTATGACATGCTTCAAGTTCAACTAAACAATCCACTAATGATTCTGGAACGTATTGTCCACCGAATTCTCCAAACCGATAATCCGAAGAGTTTTGAGTATCTGAATGTGTGGTTGTAGTTCCATTACTCGTTTGGTTTCCATTGGTGGTGGGTACAGTTGAAGTGGATTCCATTCGTTTTCGACCTGATTTTCCTCCACAGATCTCTTCACAGAACGATGTGGCTGCATTGATCACTTGATCTCCTTCTTGTTCTTTCAGAAACGTTAAGAGTTTGGAACCGATCACTACTCCATTTGCTACAGCTCCTACTTCATCAAAATGGGCTGGAGTCGAAACACCAAAGCCTACAGCTAGAGGTACAGGTCCTTCAGCTGAAGCGGTGGCTAGAGATCTGATTCGAGAAACGAGTTGAGGTAGTGAAGATTCGACTGCATTTGATGCTCCTGTTGTACCCATCTAGAGGTAAATCATACTGTGAGTTCAGAAATTTACGATCCAAGTAGGTATAAGATGATATATATGGTATGTATTGTGATGCTTACTTTCGAGACAACATAGACGAACGAATCGGCTATCGAAGTGAGAAAAGTGATACGAGAATCTGAAGTCGAAGGAGCGATGAGAGGTACATAACTAAGCCTACAAAATGCAAAATTCGAAATATCAGATCAACTCGTAAGGTATAATGATTTGAGCCGAAGAGAAGGATAAGCAAACCCTGAAGAAGTACAGATCTTCCTGAATTTGATGGCTTCTTCCGGAGGTAAATCGACCACGATAAATCCGTTTGCTCCAGCTTCTTTGGCTTCTGAAACAGCCAGTTGTTCACCGTATGACATAAGAGGATTATAGTAACCTAGATCACATCGTAACCAAGATGGTCAGGATGGTATTCAAATAATCTGGAAAGAAGTACGTTGGTTACCCATGAGGATGACAGGTGCCTTGAGTCCTTGTTTTCTTGCTTCCTTAACATAACCCAAACATGTAGTATAGTTCACATTGTGACTAAGTGCGATCTATCAAATAATACCAAGTTAGATTCAATTCAACCCACATCGATAGAGCAGAGGTCATATGAAGATAGACTATTCTCACATTGTTACTTTCTTGAATTACTACTCCATCTGCTAATGGATCACTAAAAGGAATTCCAAGTTCCAAAATATCAGCACCACCTGCTTCTAAAGCCAATAATAATGGAACAGTATATTTCGGATGAGGAAACCCTAGTAAGAAACAAAAAAAATACGTTAGCATTTGATTTTCCCTCCCAAAGAATTGTACTGGTCAAATGCAAACAAAAAAGATGGAAAAAAAACTGTACCTGCTGTAAGAAAGGTAACCAAGACAGGTAAGTTTTGAGCCGCTTTATTAGCAAATACTTGTCGAATATGTGTAGCCATGTTTGTATTTTGAGAAGGTTGAGGTTGAGTAAAATAATAAAAAGTTTTGCTTGAGTTGCTATTTTTTGCAGAATGGAGTGTGTGTATCAAATAAAAATCCGAGACGACTTGTCAAAGTGGTACATAGCCTACCGGGCTCGGACCGAGATCGAGATAAATAGACCGAGTATACCCCACAATCTCAATCCACATCGGCTATATCGATCGATCGTTCTCAAAACGGTCATCAAATTCCCGTTGCGAATTGACATTGCTCCGTGTTGGAGGTCTCATGAAGAAGACATGGAAGCCTCGCTAGGTTGACCTTTGGAGTAAAAACTACAAATATCGACCATCATCAAAAGAAACTTGTAAGGTCTCAAAGGTTGATAGACCGAACCATATATTTCCTTTAGCTTGAAGCTGTGGTACGTGCGGCTTGCCTTGGCAAAAAAACCCCACCACAACACAAATATAGCAAAATCTATTGAACGCTCTCCACTCACGTCATGTATTTGCAATGTTAAGACGGATATGTATAGAGAAGTCAAGCGGGATAGCTTGAAATTGATGGTAACGAGTTTCTTTACTTAATTTTCTGAAGCTGGGCTCACTATCTATCTGAGTAGAAATACGAACCTGGCTCAATCAAAAGTGAGTAGCATAATCTTGCTCGGATCACTGCAGTTTGGAATCCAAAGGTACATCGAGCTATAAATTCCCGGGCTCTAGTATATTCCCAAAATAATCTCGCAAAGACTGCAAGGTATATAACTAACGGGAACCAACAAAAGTGATGGAAAAGCATTGCTGTGCTGCAGTTTATTCTTGAAACAAGAAAGCAGAACTCTTTGTGAGAAATATGTTAGGCTGTAGCTCTGGATATATGGATCTCCTTCGGCTATGAAGAACCTACGATGAGGCTAGCTATTTCTTTTGGCTATGATTGTAAGGTCACAAATATAAGGGAATCATGGCATAAAAATCTTGTGTACCAATTTTGGACCTGCTTTGGGAATAATCAAGGGCTTATGAAAACGTGAAGATATTTGTTACGGCAATGAGTTGTATCATATAAATCCTCGGTGATTTATTACAGATTATTACAAATCGACATACATACAAACAACATTACTTAGAAAAGAGTGACTCATGAGTAAAACAAGAATGAGGTGTAGACGAAATAGAAAGTTATGTGTGTACAAGTAAATGAAAACAGGAATATCTTTTGATGCTAGAATTAGCATTTTAAATGAATGTGTCTGTAGGGTAAGAAAGAAATGAGAAAGCAAGGTCTGCAAAGTGAATGTGAGACGAGAAAGATGAAAAGATCCTAACTAATGACCCTTGGTACTATCTCCCATAAGGTTGGTGGTGTAATATGCAATTTGTGCTTGTCTGAAATTGTCTGGCACAATCTTATCCATGCCATCATCGTTAAATTGCAACAATTGAGAACTTGGTCCATATTTGGGCCACTGAACTGTTGAACCCTTGGGGTTGGGGTCTTGGGTGTAAACAAATGAGAGGTATCGGTTTTGGATGTCGTCGCTTCGAGGAGAGCTTTGAGCGCTCAAGGCACTGAGGGTGTTCGCGCCAAAGAATGATCCTACAATCACACATACCGGATGTTAGCATTCATCTGCATCAGGACTTGAAAAGGATGAGCTTACCCAAGAATGGGGTGCCTTTGAGCCCGTGGTCAATGAAACCATAAACTGTGGTGGAGGCCTGGATAGACTGTGTGAAGTATCTTCGGATACCCTGTGAAAGCATGATATGAGCAAGGGTTTTGTGGATGCGAGCATGAAAGGTATGAGATCTTACTTGGAAGGCTATATCTCCAAACATGGCTGCCATTTGCTTTGAAACAGGACTCAAGACGTTGGCTAGGCCAGTGTTAAAAGGTGATCCCTCAGCAGGGTTGGACGGGTAGAGGGTAAGAAGATGTGAAAGCTGTTCAGGTTGAGCACCGGGAAGGATTTTCTTCAACCCTAAAAAACCAAGCGAGAAGGATTTAGTATGTTCATCTAGGTACCGAAACTGATAGAAGTTGAGACCCACAGTCAATGACACCAGCTTCATCGAAAATGTGAGCAGCTTCAACCAAAGTATCAACTGTTCCCGAGTCTTCAACAGCTCCCACGATGATAGGAACCTTGGCAACTGTAGAAAATCGGATGTTAGAAAAACATTGGAATAGAGCAAAGGATCTTGTGAACTGACTTTTTCCTGCCTTGGCCAACGTTTCAATAGAACCGGTGAGGAACTTTCCATCCACAACGGTGTGGAATGGGATAGGGTACCGGTTGACTGCAAACAATCCTGGGAACGTATTGCAGGCCGCACTAATGAAATGTGTCTCAGTCAGCATCTTTCGTGTTAGTCATAGAACGTCTTTGAATGCCCACATAAGTTTTTGAAAGGTGGCTTGACGTAAGCAGGCGAGCGATCCTGGTCCAATGGGGCAGCCAACCGCCTGAACAAACCTATCATAAGTTTTCTGGCCGTCAAGAACAGCTGAATGTCCAAAAACACCATTTAGTCTTTTTGGCACATGCGATGAATAAACAGGACTCATAATCTACTCACCTGGACTAGGAAGAGCTACGGCTCCCCCGAGGATTGCAGCCTGAAACAAGTTGTTGTGCTGTCCGTTGAATGCCACCAAGTGATGAGACACGGCCATGGATCCCACTGAAAAGAAAAATGCGGGATGATATGTTTAGGATGATGATAGTGCGCTGTAGCCTGTAGTAGTTGAAGCTGAAGAATGACGTACAGTTAGATCCATAAAGGGTGACTCTTTTTGGGTCTCCACCAAAGTTTGCAATGTATTTCTGTTGTCAAAAGGAATCACAAGATGCGATCAGGTCAGTCTCATGTGAAGGCAATTGGCAGTGTTACTTCATCAGGCCTACCTGGACCCATTCCATTGCTAATCTTTGATCTTTCAATCCGAGATTGGCGGCGTCAGCGGCCGCAATTTCTTTCCCGCCCAAAAATCCAAAAGCCTGACAGAGAAGCAATTCTTCAGCATCTCAGCGATCAAAATTGCAATGCTGATCACTTACGAATCGTCTCCAATTTACAGCAACCCAGATCACTGGTTTTTGAGTCGCTTTAGCGTGATTGATCAAACCAGTTGGGTTATCCGTGTTTGAAGATTCTTGGGCTGAGAAATGAAAAACTGTCAGGGGTATGTTTCACAAGTAGATGAAAAGGTTGAGACTCACGTATCCAAAAGATTACGGGAAGCTTGGCGTCTTTGGGTAAACCTGAAGGCTTGATAATCTAGAGAATGCCGGAATGGTGTCAGAAGGAAGTTCAGGGTCCTGATAGGTTTCAAATCCCATACGTACATCCAATGTCAAACAATCTTCTTGACCTGTGTTGGTTTTCTCAGCAGGTACGACACCTTTTGGAAGTGATCTTAAAATTTTCAAGACCGTAGACGCATCTGAACCGGCCAAAGGGTCGGGATTGGGGCAGCCTGGGGAGGGTTTCTGATATCATGGGCCACGGAACATGAACATCAGAGTCTAAAATTGAAAGTATCAAGCGACATATGAGATTCAGACTAACAGTAGCATCGTAGTTTGGATATTTTTTGATGGGGGCGACTGGGGACGCAAAACGTCTTTCGCCGAGAGGCGGTTCGGCCTAAAATAATAAATGAGAAAGAGTCAATGATCTGGAAAGTGGTTTGCTTGGACTGAGAGTTGGCTCACGAAAGGAATTGAGGTCCAGCTTTGAAGTCCAGCTTGATCTTTTCCAGTGAAATCACCGTAATCTAGAACGACGTTGTTGGGACCTGGACCAACTTTGACTTTGGAATCAAGTGCTGCAGCTTGGGCTGTCGACGAACGCAAAAGTAATTGACAGACAGCTATGAAGACAGGTGTTATGAACATGTTGACGAAAAATGAAAGCGGGGGTTGAAAGTGATTTATTGCTACTTAGTCTTCAGTGGGTGAAGGCAAAGTTCGTGAAAGAAGTAATTGGTTTCTTAGAAGAATGTATTGACAACGAAACAAATGAAAGAGGTTTGAAGGAATGATGGATGCCAAAATGAATGGCGCTTTCACTATTTATACAATCGATATCTTATGATCTCATCCTCATCAAGCTGCTTGAAAGGGCAGCACGACTTTGAATCGTCCATGTATATCTCACGTAAGGCTTACTACCGTACCAGGGTGCAGGGTGTGGGTACATAACTTCACAGGGCTCTCTGGCAAACATTTGTCGTTAGGACATCTTGCAATCAGCACAGGCTTATTGTCCTATACACCAAATCTTTTGGTCGATTTTCCTTTTCCTTGCATTCCACTTTGCCATTACGACACGAAAAGCCCGATAACGGCTCCAGTTAAACCCTTGAACATGCACGCCAGACAAAGCCCCTATGACACCAAGGTTCACATGAGACCTTCCGCAATAGGGTTGATAGTTCAAAGATCTTTTTACTCTGACCACCCTGTTCGAATCTGATCACTGTTTCAATGATTCATACTTTTCTCTACTGCATTCTAATTCAAAATCTTCGTTGTCCCTATAGCGTCTAATATTCAGTAAGTAGCCTGTCAGATAACATGGGATCAGCTTGATGCACAGGAGCCCGAAAGCACGACGGCTGCTGAAGTGAATCAGGTTGATTCCCTTGTAAACCAAGAAAAGTTCAAAAAGCTTGCACATGTTGGGACTCGAGCAAATTGACAACCAATACACAAAGGGTTGAGACTACCATGTCGTCAAGATCCCAAGTCACTCAACCAATACCTCCACTGTCCTGCGAGATGACATGGAGCTTGATAGCCTCAAAACATATCTGGCCGAACTTTTCAATGGACCGTAGGATGCGCATCATGCACTCCTGTCACTGTCTCCCAAAACCGTACCATTTGGATATAACGCAGAAACACTATACAGTGCCATAAATTCCGCGCCTGTCCTAGACACAGTTGTTTTATCAAAGAGTTGACATGTAGTTCCTCCTCTCAATTCTAATAAACAAAACAACCCCCTTCACAAACCCAAACATAAAAATCACCTTTTAATTTTAAATAAAAATCATAAAAATGCCACCGAACTTCTCCTAGCCATATCAATTACCTTCCAACCACCTGTGATCTCATTCCCACATTGTTCTGCTTCTCTTGTCATTACAATCACATATTGTACTTGTTCGATTTGATCTGGGTTACCTACTTCTACCTTTCCATTTCCTGGGTTCGTAAAACAATTGATCTCATGTGTTCTAAATGCGATTACAAACACCGGAAGTTCTCTCTCCTGTAATACTTTCGCTGACATGATCTGTTTTAGAAGTCACCGACCGGGTATCAGAATTTGTCTTTGAACAATAGAAGTCGATAACCCGTAGTACTGATCAGAAAAAAAAATCAAGACTCACATCTATGCCCTTCAGGTCGATTACTTGGTTTTCAGGCCGTAGTCCACGTTGTAGGTAAGTTTGCATAGGTGCTGTAATCACATTATACGCCTACCAATTTACACACACATATATATCAGTCACAAGATCAAATGTAAGAGATCTATCCGAGATTTGAGAATAAAGATAGACAGTCAAAAAAACCTAACCCCTTCACTTGTCCAAAGTTTCAAAACTTTTAAATCTGCATCTACATAAGCATCTACAATCTCAGGTACGATATATTCACGTAAATCTCTTAAAAACCCATCAAATTCGAAATCTCGATCAATCTCTTTAATCAATCTAACCACTTTTGCCGTTTCAGTTTCATCAAACAATCTACCAATCGCTCCTGTTACAGTACGCATCGAAGCAATCACTGGATTATCCGAATCTTCATATGTGTTTTGGAAATTCGTCCATGCTTTTAAGATCGGTTCTGGGGTGATTGAAGCTAATCTAGATTTGGTTGAACGGCTTTCATTTTCGGCTTCTTGATTTGCTGTAGCATGAAGTACAAGAGCTGGCGGAGCTTGAGGATTTTCAGGAAATTGGGATGGCTTATCTGATCCTCCAGTCATGGTATCTGTTGAACTTGCCGTGCTGGCTTCAGTTGAGTGTTCAGAAGTGGTCGTAGTACCTTCTGTTTTGACCAAGTCTGCCTCACTTCCCGGACCACCAGGTACACCAAGTCCTTTGTTAGATTTCCCGAGGCGCTCTAATCGCTTCTGACGCTTCCTTCGACGTTCAGCCTTTTCAATATAACCTCCATATCTCAATGCACCCTGACTGAAATCAACTGTATCTTCTACAACCTTATAAACCTCGGTTTGTCGAATAGGTTCACCAATCCTTCGATCAAGTTCGGCAGTCACTTTCTTGGCGGCTTGTACCAATCGACTATCTTCAATTTCTTGTGCAGCTTTGTTAACAGCATCTGAAACAGATCGACCGGTGGTCGAAAGTGATGATGCCATGGCTGCCAAACGTGGGTTTTCTTTGATCAAGGTTTGTAATCGTAAGGCTGTATAGGCTTCCCTCATCTTTTGAGCCGCTTCGGAATCTTTCAAACCCTGTGCTGTACCCGTGAGCTCACGTACATTTTCCTAAAAACCAATCTGATCAGATATTGTATTTTGCATTCAACCATGATGAATGATTGCAAACCTGCATTGCCTGACTCTTGGCATACTCGCTCTTCAGTACATCCATAAACCGTGCCCATGGTGATGTACCAGGGGCAATATGATCATCCTGATTCTCTTGATGCTGTTTTTGACGTTGCCGACGACGTTCTTCAGCCTGTTCACGTTGTTTCTTTTGATCTTCAGTCTCTTCAGGATTAGTAGCGTAAGTTCTTCGAGTGCCAAGGCTCGAACAAGATGCGATCGGTGTAGATGATGATACTTGAAGAGCTTTTGAAGAACTTGTCCAACGATGTCGATGTAGTCTTCTAGAAGGTTGATGAAAGGACACTGCTTTGAGAAGGACTCGAGGAGTGGATGACATTAGGTTTTGAAGTTTTATAAGGTATATATTATATGGTGTAGGTGCAATCCAGCTGGCTGCTGAGCTTCCTTGGAATTTATTTTTTTGCAATGGGATCGACTGTCAGTCGGGTTTCACCGACGGCATCGGGGCCGGGTGAATTACTTTTTTTTGACTTCGAACCCTAACCGCCGATTCGAAAATGCAGGCTCAACTGTGGTCAACTTCACAAAGCCTGCACAAGTTCAACGCAGATCACTCTTCCTTCCTCAGATGTATTCACGATGCTTGATTCGTCTTCGGGAGCAGGCCACGATTCAAGCCTGCTTTGGGAAGTTGCACGTGAGGCATTCTGCATTCGAAGAATTCTAAACTTGTGGTTGCCTGAGCCTCCAAAGATCATCAAATGTCAGTCAAGGCGTACCATTGGTGATCTGTATAGGCACTATGAAACCAAGGACATTGCACCACTTGACCAACAGCAAAAAGAAGCCAGGCTTGTTTTAAGCTGCCCAAAGTTGTAGTAGTACATAGAGGACATCCAAGAATCATGAATAATAGCTTGTCCAAGTGAAGAAGTGGAATCACAATGGAGCCATATTTTTGGAATACTAATACTTTAATACTAGATCAATGCTGATCAATGCCAATGTTTTCAAAGTCAAGATTAGAGAAGATTCAATTTGAACTTTCTTTCTAAGATTTTTTATGTCACTTCAGTCTTACTCTGAACCACTTGAAATGTTATACTAACTCAGTCTGACCATTTGTCAGAAATATGTTCGACGGAAGCTGTATGTAATTTAACGCCAGGCTGAACTATTGGTATGATAAGTCAAGCATGGAGACACACAACCCTTTCAAGATCTTGGTGACTTGATTACGATAGATTTCTTTGTTTCTTTCTTTTATATGAGCCTTTATGAGAATTGAGTTCATGGATCCAAACAGTGTAGTCTCAACATGTATACATACCAATTTGTGTTAAGGAGAACACATCTTTCCATGCATATCCATGTATTGGAAAAAATTGTTGTCCTAATCATAAATCAATCCTTTTGAACTTGGAATCAAACTTCTAAATCCGTTCTCGGACCCATCCCTCCAACCCACCAGCCAAAAATCTATAATAGAAAACAAATCAGTAACGCCTCAAAAACCATTTCCCAAATCCGCAACCCAGAAACTCTAAACTCACATCTCTTGAACAGATTGACCCACAGCCGCCTTAGTCCAATAAACCTTTTCTTGTCCATCTTTCTTAATCAGAATCCGACCAGTTCTAGATTCAAAAACAAGTTCCCAACCCGTTTTGATCGATTCACTTGATGTTTTCTTTAAATCTTCAATCAATTCTGGACATTCTAAACAAATCAATCCATTATTGATGGAATTCCTTTTAAAGATATCTCCAAAACTACCTGCAATCACTACAGGAATTCCTGCATGTTTTAAGGCGGTTGCGGCTTGTTCTCTAGATGAACCTGTTCCAAAATTATAACATGAGGCTAAGATCACTCCTTTTCCTGTTTGAGTACTTTGTTGAGCTCTTTGGGTCGTATGGGTGGGTACTGGAGTTGTAGTAGGTGTGATTGGGAAAAGTTCAGAAACGGTGCTTGCGAAGGTAGGATTATAGTTTTCCATCACGACTTCTGCTTGTTGAGATGGAGTGATGTCTAAAAGATCAAAGCATGTCAGATTACACTTACAGGATATCTGAGATGGTCATTGTAAAGATCATGAAGCTTTTAATGGAACATACCATCTTGGTATGTATATTTTCCGGGATAGATACCATCGGTGTTGATATTATCATGAGGTGCAAATAACAACGGTCCAGAAAACGTCGAAGGGAAAGACGGCAATAGTTGGTCGCCAGAAGTCGATGATTTCGTATCAGTAGTCGAATCCACAGTCTTAGTTGGCTTAGTATGCTGAACAGTTGTTATAAGTGGTGCTCGAGCAGTAACAGGATTTTGTCCATTTGAATTATTTAGAGCTTCTGGTCCACAGATCTTACCAGCAATCGCACTCGCTGCTGCTACAGCCGGACTCGAAAGGTATGCCAAAGCATTGGGACTACCCATACGACCCTTATAGTTTCGATTGGTAGCACTTATGCCTACTTCTCCATCTTGTAACAATCCCACTCCTAAACCGATACATGGACCACAACCCGCTGGTAAGATCTTCGCACCTGCTTCGACCAGAGTAGCCCAATCACCGGTCGATTCTGCTTCTGATTGTACCACAGACGAAGCAGCTGCTACGTAAAACTCAACGCCTGGCGCTACCCTTTTCCCCTTCATAACTTCAGCAGCAGCTTTAAGATCCGAAGCTCTTGCGTTCGTACAAGACAAGAGATAAGCTTTGTTGATCTTGATATCTTGAGATTCTAAAGTTGGTAATGGAGTTGAAACTTTAACGGAGTTAGGTCCAGAGACGTGTGGGACGAGAGTGTTGAGATCAAGAGTGAGTGTCTTTGAATAATAAGCATCCGAATCTGGCTTCAACTCGTTCGAAAGTTCTCGTAATTTGTTGACTCGAGTTTCATTTAATCTTGGATGTACAGTACCAGGTGGGGGGATCGAGTTACTCTTGATAAAAGTTGATAATTCTCGTTTCTTCAGTAAAGCTTGATAATAATCAATCAATTTGTTATCGATGGGAAACACGCCTGCCAAGGCACCCCACTCGGTGGTCATATTGGATATCGCTAGTCGTTCATCAATGGCTAAAGATTCAACACCTTCTCCCACAAATTCAATCGCTGAATTCAAAACGTCGTCTTTATTGAAATATCCACATAGAGCTACTATCACATCTTTTCCTACGATTCCTTTAGGTAACTTTCCTGTGAATTCGACTTTGATGATTTCAGGTACTTGCCACCATGTCCTTTCAGTTGCCCAAATTGCTCTGTGTATTTTTAAAACAAAAGTGATAAGAGTTATGACCAGTAAAAACACAAAAAAAGGTAAAATGTGACGATTGTTTGAAGATTTTGTCTGACCTACGCTGCATCAGTTCTGACAATTGGAGTGCCTACACATCCTACTCCACCATACATATTACTATGAGAGTCGGAAGCTACAGAATAAGATAAAAGACTGTCAGCATTCAATGAAGGAGTGCATGGAATGTTTAGAGAGCTTGGCTTACCGACCATAAGTCCACCGGGGAAAGCGTAACCTTCCTCGATCATGATTTGATGCTAAAGCGGACCAAAAGAATACCAAAAACGGATCAGTGTGAAGATCTTCATTAAGCAAAAATATCAGAGGAGATGATTTACTCCAATACCACGTCCAGGAGGATAAAAATCAATATCATGAAGATGAGCGAATTGTTCGATATTTGAATATTTTTTAAGATTGGTAGGTGATTTGTTTTGAACGTCATGATCGATTGTAAAGACTAATTGACGTGGGTTTGAAGGTTTAGATGCACCAATCGATCGAAACTTTGATATCACTGGAGCTGTGTTATCATGCTATAATGAAGATGAAAGGAATCCTAATTTTAGCAAGAGATGGGAAGGCTATATAGATGGATTTTTTTTTGAATTTACGGACTGTCATCACATCTATACCAAAACATATCATTTGTCAGAACTTGTTCTTAAGCAACTGGATGGTTTCTTTTTTCTTGACAACAAGACTCACGTTCAGGCTTAAGCATCACATAATCACCAGCTCTAATTTTTTTGTTTCCCGGTACATCTACCGCATAACGTTGTACGACCTTTTCGATAAACGTTTGAGCATCTTGACTGTTAGTTGAATTTGTTCTATGGTTTTTGATTGAGTAAAGGTTTGAATAAACCCGTCTTGAGGTTAGAAATCTTGATATCATCCTTCGATTTGTTAATGTGTTCTTTTTGGCTGAGGAGACAAAAAAATGTTGGGCCGGGTTTCGGGAGTTTGGAAAACCGAGTGCGGAGCTTGGGTGTTTGGGTATTATCATGAATATGCTTATAGTGAAACTCAGCTTGGCTCAGCATTAAATATAAGCATACCGGACATTCGCAAGCCTCAAGGACAGTCTCACAAACAGACAAAGACAGAAAACCAGATGAGCCAAAAACACCCAAGATCAAGATCAACGGTCTTATTCTGAAAAATATTTGTACATTGGAAATCATTCAGCTTCCAGGCTTGATGAAGGAGAATCCTCAAAACAAATGTATCACCTCTTTGCATAGCAGTTACTTCGAACCCCAGAATATAATGTGCGTGTTTGAAAGATTGTTGGTCTTGTACGAATTGGTCAAGATTTCTCATTTTTTTCCAATTCAGATTGCATTGGTTGATATAAATTGATATGGTCCTGTCATTCAGATTAGAATAAATGCAGATGTCGATGAAAGAAGCTACTATTTTTCCAACCATGTGTGCAGTAGATAAATTTGGACAATCACCTCTCATAAAGTAAGTCTGATGGTCAGATAATTAAGTTTGTGCAACGAATTTTCTTTTTGATGAAGGCTGAGATTCAGCTTAAGAATGTGGAACGAACAATTATTTCAGGATGGAATGGGATGGATGAGTCGAGCTTTGGAGTAAATTGATTCTAGCCTCTGTGTAGTGATAGAGTTTTATGCTCTGATCGGAACTCTATTAATGGTCAAAGGTGTTGGAAGATGATGATAATTGGTGGATGAAAAACATGCTAGACTGAAAAACGAAAGATTAAAAAGTATATAGATCTAGTATTATAAACCCTGACTCAACTATGCCTTTGATGGGCTTTCGAAGGTCGGCTTAGTAGAGTTACGAGATATCTCTTGAAGGTAATCTCTAGTGAACGAAGAGTATAAATCTCATGCTGATCTTCTATCAAACTGTGTCGCTTCTAGCGATAGTGCTTGATATATATATATCAGCTATACTCCAGACATCATCCTTGGGGGTCGATGGATCATCCAGCCTCAGTATCATTTGCGTTACTTCCCGCAGTGACTCGACATAAGTCTCGGTTCAGCGCTGGCTCTTCCAATGTTGATAGAATTTGAGGCTGCATCACGATCACACCTGCAAAACCGTCTCCCAGATGCCACCCCAAGTGACAATGAAGCATAAACACTCCAGGCTGAGAGTCATGATCAGATAATTCCAGTCGTCAATTTTGAAATCAGCACCAGTAAAAACTAGCTGACGAAGAATAGTCGAGTTATGTCGTGAAGACGCTCACGTTGTCTGCCAGAATCCGGACTGATGAACATGTTGATGAGTTCATTGTGAAGAATGTAGATGATCCTGTGGAATAATTTGAGAAGCTGGACTCACTGATGATGTGCGAGTCAGCCGGTATTACATAAGTGTCTCTCCTTGGAGGATTGGACAATGATTCCGTAGGTTGTATCGTCGAGTTTTCAGTCAATCGACCAGTCCCCTTACCAACAAGATAAGAGTCTACACCATGCAGATGATATGGATGGTCTAATCCTCTGTCTAGATTATTTATGACAATATCATACCAGCCAGGCTTCTCTAGCGTGACAAAACCTACTTCAGATTCATTTAACTTTCCATTCCCACCTTTCATCATCCGAGCGAGCAAAGGCTTGAAGATATGGGCTAGACAAATCCAAAACAAAAGTTAACCCGTTGAATGATTACTTGAGGAAGATATTGAAGTGAACTCACCTTTCCAAGGGACACCATTGACAAAAAAACGCCCAACGCGCAGCATATGGTCTCTGTTTGTTGGGTCTGGGTAGACAAGCGCACCAAAACCTGATTCTATTATGCGCTACATTCACGCGAGTTTGTGCGAGACCATTCCAGATATCAGCTAAGCCATTTATCGCAGCCGAGAACTATGCTAACCTTTCCAAGCGTCGTGTTCGGTACACTCTTTGGTAGTAGAGGTGTAAGATCACGCTCAATATCTACGCACGGCCCTCCGACCGGCTCGGTTTCTTGATCTGGTGTGTAGGAGTATTCTTACTTGAGCATCCGCATCTACCTTTTTCCTCTTTGGCCACTACTTTCACGACTGCGATTACACTACGAGCGCGACCTTCCATCCCGGGGGCAACTGAGATCATCCTTTTGTCAGACATACTTCATTTCTTCCCACGGATTCTCATAGAAAGGAAGACACGTACGCCATGCAACTACACACGAGTTTAGGTAAGGGACGTCAACGTTACTGGGATCTGGTTCAGCTTTAGCCAGTTGGACTTACAACAGTCGGTGTCCATAACTGATCTCAACAAGAAAGAAGACCCGACTGTATCATTGGTAGTATCTAGGATCACACTGTACCTGTGATAGCAACAAGAAGTCAGACTTGTGTAGGATATTTAGGGTACAGGGTAAACTGCACAATTACCTTTGTCCACCATGAATAGGTAATCGATGTATGTTAGATGAACCCTTGACCCCAGTCGCATCGGCCTCGATGATTGTTAGGGGATGTCCATCAGCTGAAAATCGAAACATAGCATGCGCTGCGCCGTCAATCAGACGTAACCTCGTTTTCTCGTTGGGAGCCACTTTCAATTCCAATTTTATATTGCTCTGCTCGCAAACAGAGCCTTCTTCCGCGTATGCGCAGTGAAAGTACCCTATTCCATTGACCAAGGCTAGCGATTTTCAACAGTAAGGTCAGCAACCGTAGAAATAGATACCGCCCAATGGAGACAGTGATCCTTACCCGAGTTGGGGGATGGTGCTGCCCAACTCCCTCTATATCGCTGAGGAGACATGAGGGCATTTAACATTACCGTACTCATTCTGCTCATTCAAGAACGGGCAAATTCAGTAAAGAAAGTGATACTTTGAGCGGGATACAAAAGAAAATCACTGAACTCGTGGTACCAATCGCTACAGAAAGTCAATTTGATCGAGTAAGTGAGGATCTATTATTCTTCAACTTGAGAAAGTCGGCTCACGTGTAAAACAAGACTATATCATTATCATAGTCTCTACCCCTTTTCAAGGGATCATCCACAGAATGGACTATGAGTGGACCCATCAGTCCATCAGCGACCAGATTTTGAGAGTGTGCCTGTGGATCCATGCAATGAGATTTGACTCAGGTATTGCAAATACTAATCTACACTACGGGGTGGCTTACGTGGTACCCTTATCACATGCATAGGTTATAAACCAAGGCAAACCGGTCCATAAATTTGGCGTCAGATAAGTCCTGATGGGTCGAAGACAGATAGGCCCAACACAACGAAAATATTGTGATAAACGTACAGAACGTGCCAAATTGGCCATCGAGTTTGAAGGAATAGGTGAACGAAGCACCCGCCGGGATGGGACATTGTGTGACACCTGGCAAGGTAGCAGGATGTCTAGTCAGCGTTGTGGACATTGAGATAGACACCCTCAGTTGAGTAAAACCTCATTTTCACCTGAAACTCCATCCATCTGATTGACTCGCAACGTCAGCCGCGTGCGCAGTCAGTGTATCATCTCTAGTCAAGCTCAGATTGTGTGGATAACGCTTACCCAAGGTGTTCCCTTTTGCCATATTCCATGCCAATGGATCGCCACAGGCAGTGTGATGTGGTTCTTAACAAGGATATTGAGTGTGTCGCCCTATTGTACGGCACAATTTCAAGACGGTCAACTTTTCTTGTACTGATCAGATTGTGCTATGACTTACGTCGTTCGCTTCAATGAGTGGACCAGGAAATTGCTTGTTGATCACTAATACGCGTCTGATCCATTCGGAAAAGCCTTCAGCCCTTCCCCAATGACAACTTATTGTACGAGCGCATAGTTGCTAATTACCTTTCGAAACCATCCATTGCTGCTGTCTCTTCGGTTATCTCAAAAACATAGTTGCGTGTTTGAGGCGTTGAGGTGATCACGAAATCTGGACTCAGGTTTAGTTCCTGTGAGTTCACTTGGACGTGATTGTTCTGCCTCCGTGCGTGTTTCTTAGCAGTTGGGCCGTCCTGAGAAGAAGAAGAGTTGACTGTATATAAACTGCCAAGAGCCATCGTGGCGATGGCAGCAAGAATCATCTTCATCTGGAGCATCATGTTAGATCATGAAGGGTCGACGACGATAAGAAAATCTTCCGAACGGCGGAATGCGAATGAAAGAATCCAAGGAATGGTTCAAGATTGATGTCCTCCAGAACGCAGGCCTTGATAACGATTGCAAAGATGGCATCATGCTCGAATTCCGTCCTTCTGCCTCTCGCGGGACGGATGCGGCCTTTGCATTTATTCATCGAGAGCCACTCTTCTTGCGCTAATTATATCCACTGACCTCCACAGATTCTAGAGTAGCCGCTCTGTAAATACAGCTTAACCCATTCGACATGGTCCATCATTCAAGATATCTGAAGCGATGCAGTTCAAAAAAGCGCCCCAAATAGTTTATCATACGAAAACAGCCAAAAAGTCTACATAGCGCAGACCCGTTGTTATCAAGGTTCTGCCGAACATCTTCAGATTACAAATCTTCCATCATAAATTTGGTTGGTTTCTGTTGGAATACTTGACATCATGAGACTGTCTTTTATATTCCATTAGTGTCTTTTCTCTTTGACGTGTGCTTTTCATTCATCCTTAGTCTATATAGTTGTTCATCGAGACATACGTATTACTGTTCATCTGTCTTATCTACTTGTTACGTCGTTTGTTTTTCTATTTCGTGTATATAAGCAAACCTAGAGTCACGATAGGAAAGGGTTTCTTCTTCACCCTTTCCTCAAATTCTCTCGTGCGCTCTAGGTAAGCTTCACTCCATAGTTTGTCTTCATATGATGAAATGCTTAATCACCCTTCCCTCAAATTCTCTCGTGCGCTCTAGTTGAACGCAACAGTTTCTACGAATCTACTTTGATGGACGAGAGTTTTGGAATCCAAATGATGTCTTTGAAGACCTTGTTGGTGAAGAGATCTGATGAGATCAAACGGATCAAAAGCTGTGGAACTTGGAAGGGGAACAGAGTAGGGCTGTGGCCCGGACCTGCGAGCTCGGGGCCGACCGCGAAGCCAGGTCCGGACCTGATGTGAACCGAGGGCTTCCGAAATCAGCTCAGCTCAGAGCATCTCCTATCGTTCGAGTAAATTTTCAGTAAATTTTCTGTACGTAGGTGTTCGGTACAGTATCAATCGGTACAGAACTGTCGAAATCCACTATCGTTGGAAAGAAAGTGCCTCGGTACAGTACCAAATGGTGAGAACAATGGTTTCCCCGCAGATACCGAATCGGTAGAGGTCCAGTAAATTTGCTGGACCTCTACAGAATTTTGACCGATTCGGTGGATACCGAATCGTGTTTTAGACACGATTGGGGAATTTAAGGGTCGGTACAGTAAAATTTACCGTACCGAAGCCCTTTAGGGCTTCCGAAATCAGCTCAGCTCAGTCAGGGCAGGGCCAGGATTTATGCCCTGAGGCTGGGCGTGGTTAGGCAGGGGAAAAGGGACTCGTGACTCGTGCTTTCATTTCTAAATTCAAAGAGTAACATATTTGATACTCACTTAGAACACAAGTCACTATAGAGACTAGATGGCATAATTGTAAAGCCAGAAAACTATTTGAGATGTAAAACAAGCTGTTTAGAGAATTAAACTGGAGCATAATTGCAATGTAAAATAACTATCAGAGCTACTTAGAGAATGAAAATAAAATCATTAAAGTAACCATCAGGTCTAATTCAAGAAGGGACATAAGATCATTTTTCTAATTCCTTCTTTCATCTCTTCAGACACACTTGAGCTCCAAGAGTGAGAGGCGTGAAAGATGCTTGGTGGTCACTCATGACTCTCAGTGCATTAGAAAACACATGCTCAGTAGGTGCGCTGGTGGCAGGAACTGCAAGCATTGCCTTTGCTATGCATCCCAGTCCAGGCCAATGACATTGGCAAAGTTCCCAGTAGTTGAGGGGATTGCATACCCCCTCTTCTTGAGGAGCGGTTATGTTATGATCTGTTGTCACGGGGCGCAGGAGATGAAGGAAAGCTTCTAGCAGTTCTGTTCTATTGTCTAAAGAGATTGTCAGATGAGGGACTAATACAAGTTACGTAATACAATGAGTATAAATAGAACTAATATGTGACATGTAGTTGTTTCTGTCACAGCCCGTTACATATAGAGTTGTAACAGGTTAGATATCAAGTGACCTTGTGTTCAATTGGAACCATCTTGCAGTGTTTGATAAAGTATTGGGGTTAATTGGGATTGATGATTTCCTTCTTTCTGACAATCTCAATCTCATTGTCGAGAGCTGGTTTGACTTGATGGGCTTGTTCAGTGAAATATTCAACCAACTCATCAGATACCCAACCAAAAGACTTGAGAATTTGTCCTTTGACAGCGCTAAGTTCAAGGTGGGGGTCAAGGATTGCAGAACAAATATAGACCACCTGCTTCTGGGCAGCTTCTTGGTAGTGGATAATTCTTTTTATCCTAGGCATGATTGCAACTTTCAGTTCCTTGCATTCAGAGTCAGCCCAGGCCTGTAAAACAAGTTGAAGTGAATCAGCAACATTATTAAAGGTGAAAGATTTGATTAAACGGAGGAAAAAGAATAGGAGCTCACCTTTTTGAGCCTTTCAACTAGCCATTGATAGTTTGGCATGACACAAGAGAAAGTTGGGTGTTGATGTCCTTCAATTTCCCAAGTGACATGAGCAAGAGGTGATAGAAAATGAACCAAATCTTGCTCAAATTTCAGAACCTTCAATCAGGTTGGAGTCTAGATTTTTCATTGAGAAGGTTTGTTCCTCATTCAGCTCAAGCTTGGATTACTGTCCCAAGTCAACAAGCCTTTGGGCTGCAAGTTGTGATTTTCCTAAACTTTCTATGATAAAAATTCACAGAGATAAAATCAATTGCCAAAGAAGATCAATTTGTCAGAAAAGAACAAGAAATCATCATTTTTCTCCAACAAGATCTGCGGGGATTGCTCTCAATGAGAGCATTACAAAACTTAAAAAAAGTTGAAAAACTTGATGGCTTGGCATGAATTCATTGACAAAAACGATATGCATGTAATCCTCTTGGTGAGAGCATTCCAGAACTTTGATTGGCTGGTTATTACAACAAGTTTTGTGGTCTAGCAATTCTTTTGGGCCTTGGTTTGAAATTGGCAACAATTTGCCTCCACGCACTATAGTATTTTGTCTAACTGTCCAATTGTAGAACTTGAAAGCCTGGTTTATTTGGCTGTGGCAAAATTTGGCTTGGACACACTCTGAAGTACCAAAAAAGTGAGCTTTGGGTAGTTTCAAACCAGGCACCAAAAAGTGCAATCTGTCTTGGAATTTTCAGCCATGGAGTCAATGAAGCCCCCTTGGGCTGGGCACATATTCTTTGGGTTGCCTAACACTGAGACAGCTAATCTACCTGTAGCTGATAGTGTAAGGTATTGTAGCTAAAAACAGCCTGCTAAGCTACAGCTAGCCTGATTTAAGCATAAATGAATTACAGCTACCCTACACAGAGTCACAGGTAAACTCCACCTAGCCAAATTTTGGCCCTGTAGCATAATGTGGAGGCACAAGTTAAAATCCTTGTTGACTGTACTCAACTACACTACACACAAAACCCATGGTAGCATGTTGAAGCATAGCTGTCTCAGCATTGGGACACCATTGATGTCTGTGGTGAAAAAGTACTTCCAAACCCAAAAAGAACATGTGGTGGTTATGGTATTGGAAGCCAAATTTGAGATCAAATTGAAAGGAGCTAGACTGGAATTTGGGGTTGACAGGCTGGAGGACTGAATCACCCAAAGTAAATTGAAGGAAGGCCTGGTCACAGGTGTTGATTGTCATGTGGCGGGCGCGGCGCGTTTTTTGCGCCCTTGGGCGCGCCTGGCGCAGGCGCGCCCGGGCGCTTCTTTTTTTCTGAATTCAGGGGGGGACGCGCCCTATCTGAATCCTAGTTGAATGAGACTTGATTTGATGAGAATTGTATTGCTTCTGAACTTTCTTTTATATACACAGGCACGTGTATTCAAGAAACCCCACCTAAAACCCAACCTTTTCAACAATGCCTACCAAATGGATTGAGCCTACTGCTAATAGCGGCCCGACGTGGATGGGATTCAAAGCGGATGTTGAACGGAAGCATGGTCGCCGTCGCGCTAAGTGCAAGCATTGCAATGGCAAGATGGATGCAAAACCTGCAAAACTTTATTGCCACATGACGCAAGACTGTAAATCAATCTCGATATCAGATCGTTCAGCTTACGAAGAAATCAATATGAAACGCGGACCCAAATCAACAAATGATGCCATCAACAATGTCAATCCACCGGAATCCAACGGATCATCAGCACTTTCCACCAAACGTCCTAAGATAACTCACGACTTCACACAAAGCAATTTCAGCCGCTTTGTGCCTCGTACCAAAGAGAGCACAATGGATACTTACGAAGATCTTCTTAAGGCTCTGATATTGGGCCATATTCCTTTCCGTTTCCTCCAAAACAAATTCTTCCGTGCCTTTCAAGAAAAACTCTCGATTGTATCTTACACTCCGGCTTCGCGGAACATTATGATGGACACTGTCCTTCCTCGACTTCATGCACAATACTCAAAAGTCACAAAATCCGAGCTCAAACAGCATACTAATCTAACTATTTCACTAGATGGATGGACAGACTGCTCAAAGAACAGTGTCTATGCGGTCTTGCTCCTACGTAGTACTGATGTTAAAAAGTTAATTGATGTGCTTGACTTGGACGATGTTCGACACACATCTGAAAACACGCTAGTTGCTCTAAAAAAAGCTCTGGATGGCCATGGTGTTACCTGGGAGCAAATTGGTGGTATTGTGACCGATTTGCCAAGCTCTATGGTCAAGTTGCGTGTAAGTATCTCTTGATCTCATGCTTTTTCATGTTCCTCTTTGACTCATCATACTGCGTTTATTCTTGTAGAAACTTGTGAAATCCGAGTTTTCTCATGTCATTCCCTTAGCATGTTGTTTACATGTTTTCAATCTTGTTGCCAAGAAATGTGTCGAACACCCCGATA